GGCTCGTCAGGGGAGAATCATCCTCGGCGCTTTTGCGGGGGGGGTTGTGTCTGTGGCAGGGAGCGAGGAGCAGCTGCCTCCGCACGCACAGCCGTGCCTCGGCCAGAGCTGCGCCCGCCCCTCGCCTCTGGAAGAGGTGCTGGTGCGGGTGACATCCCCCAGCAAGGGCCGGCGCTGCCGCAGGCCGAGCGAGCAGGGCAGAAGCCCTGGCTGCTCAGTGCTCAGCGACTGCCACTCCCTTCGGTCCAAGCCTGGGGACTGTTCGACGAGCTCTTTCACCCCCAAGTAGGGGAAAAGCCAGGCTGTCCCTGCCTCATACTCACCAGTGAACATTCCCAAACCTCTCTCCCACCTGGCTCTTCTCTGCAGGCAGCTTTTCAGTAGCCTGAAAGCAAAGTTTGGCTCACACAACACAGAGATATCTGTAATTCAGAACTCGTTCTCCAGCAGGCGATGCCCATGGGCAGGAACCCATTTTCCAGACAGATCACTCATCTAGTTAAGAGCAAGGTCAGCGCAGGCAGCACACAGAGTCAAGAAGGGAGGATACACCTGCTGAAGAGGCAACCGAGGCAACAGCACAGCTAACTAAAGAAAAATATGATCAGAAACTCTAAGAACAAGAAGCTGCCTTTGCACCCCCACATTTTAAAGTGTGGGTTAATACAATTTTTTTTTCTGTGAAAGCACTTTTATAGCTTTAACTGAGAGCTTTTGACTAAGTGCTAAAAATAGCTGCTAAAAAGGGTTACACTTCCCCCATACTATTAGTTTTCAAGAACTGATTATCTTTTAGAAGTCCTTTCTAACTGACTAGAATAAGCCTCTTTTACTTTTGTCTTCCATCCCCCATCAGAACACAGTAATACATTGTCCTACTGCACACCAAGTCAGCATCTCACTTTCAGAGGAAAGTACTCTGGAGGAGCAACACACAGTGGCAACAGACATCACCAATGACTGAAGAGTTACTTAGTGATGTATCACAGAGCAGTATCTTCAATAGGATTGTATTTTAAACAGCTCACCGCATGGGTTTGTAACAGTTCTTACTATTTTCCTCTCATGATTAAATTACCTTTAAACCAACTTAAACTAGCTTTTAACCCCAAGTAAAAGAACAGAGCTCTATCAGCACTGCATATCAAAAAGTAAAAAGTGATTTATTGCAACAGTAAACTCTGATGAACTTCTGCTGGCATCACCCCAAAGATAAAAGATTTGACTCCCATGGGAGTCAAAACTGGATTTCTGGTCATGCTATGTGTTTTCTTATTAGCAATTGCTTGTGTTGCACGCCTGTGAACTAGACACAGATAAAATATAGAGCCATAAGAAAACTCAAAGACCTTTCATTAGTTCCAGATCTTTCCTAGTGAGGGCTGGTGACATCAGTAAGACTTACAGACAGAGCAAAACACCACAGAGCTAAAGATAACCAGCCTTGAACAGTACATTCTGTGGCAACCAAAGCCAGACTAACTTAAAAATCCAGAATATCTGTACCATTCCATAAGAATCAATGGGAGTTCAGGGTACAGAGTAAGTTTCAGCTGGGAAAAAGTAATCTTCCCTGGCAATTCCTCACTATGGTGCCATGTTAGCTTCAAACAGCACAGTAATTTCTCACACAGTAGAGTTAGCTGACAAGTTTGAGGAAAAACAGTGGAATAGCAAGCAGATGTTTTTCAGTTCTAGCCATTGCACAGCACGTCAAAGATCAATGCTACAGGAGAGATTCCTACAATGCAAGGCCAACTAGAAAAAATATTCAGCATAAAATTCAGCGCTGGGGCAAAAGAAGGCAGAGATCTCATCCATGGAGAGGTGTTTCCTATCTCAGTATTTCTGATCATTTAATATAAGGAGGCAATAGACTTGGCTTTAGATGAGGGGAAAAAAGGATTCTTTTGGCCCTACAGCAATTAAGAATGAGCCAAGCTGAAGTTTAAGTACAGACTAAATTTAAGTACCTTTGGCTTTAGTAATAACTATATAAATTCCATCCGTTTCCACAAAATAATTTTATTAGATACACGAATACAAAAGATTTACAAATATATTAGTGTTTTCAATGCTGGCATATATAAAGTAATCTGCATTTGAAGTCACACACACATATTAGTAACTCTGTCTCCAAAATACTGCATGAAAATACTTGGATTACTACTATGAAACTGACCTAGCAGTCTCTTTCTCTCTTTGTCAGAGAGATTTGAATCTTCATCAATAGCTTTCAATAGAGACAACAGCTCATCTTTTGTGGTCTTCTCTGTACTGGAGCGATACTCACTCTCATCAAGTTTCTGGCAAAAGGTGTAGCCTGCAAGGAAACAGGAGACATTCAGACAGTTAACACCACAGCCAACCACCCTCGAGATTCTACAGGCCCATCCTCCTTTAGAGTCAAATTAGTAATTGTAACAGCAAGTCTTTTTGCATCATCTCAGCCCCTTCTATTTCTTATCTGGGTCCATCACAAGAATAAACCTTCTGTTTAAAGTGTTACCTATTATCTTGCTGGGATCTTGGCCTTTCTGCAGAGCTAACAGTTTATCACTGACCATTTTATGCAGTGTCCCTGGGATCTTGGATAGAAAGAGAAGAAAATCAAACAGCAGCTTAGAAAAAGGCAATTCTGCATAAGAATACAAGATAACAAAGACCTGGTCATTTTCTAGTACTTACTTTTAACACATCTCTTTGGTGATCCACAAGGAACAAGATCAGGAGGTCAGTTTTGCCTCTAGATAAGGATTTGTTGTTGATAATAGCTTTAGAGAATGTTCTCTTCACAACCATCCTGTTGTCACTCTAAAGAATAGTGTGAAATAATGACCAGAAGAGGAGAATTAGTCTCCCTGTTTTAAGAAGGGCACCACCTTTGTTCTTCAAGAGTCACTGCTTTTCCTGTAGTCACATATTTAAGCTACAGAAGTGTTTTCTGACCAGTACCTGGGATATCTAGATTTTAGTAAGTGTAAAGTTAGGTATGTACATTTACCTCCTTCTGTAGTTTGAGCTCAGAATTATGGGCTGCAATAGCCATAAAGTACAGCAGTCTTCTGAACTCCTCCCTCACTTGGCTGTCTAGAAGTTTCAAATAGAGTTGAACTGCTTCTAAAGATTGTTCCATCTTCCCATTCACTGGGGAAAGATAAAGATACCTATTACCATATTTATTTAAACATTACAATAAAACATTTAAGTTAGTCACTGAAGAGCAGCTCATCTCTCTAAACAGAATTGGTCAAACAAAGCAATTAATTTCTGACAAAAATTTCTCATAGGCTGATGAGAGCTTTTGGCATACAATCTAAGAACAGCCCACACCCAGGCTTTTAGCCTGATATTTAAGAAAACTCACTTTCAATTAAGCTCAATCACAGTTAAGCCATCTTGAATGGAATGTGAAATACTGAAAAAGAAAAACTGTTTTGTTAAGAAAATGAATGACTTCTTATTGCAGAAATAGAGATCTCCCAATAAACGAGGAATATGTCCCAGATAAATGGGTTGGCTTGATGAATTAATTGCAAACCATTTTGAAGAGCTTTGCTAAGTTTCCATTTAAGTGGCCTTACTATGCAGAGTACCCCTCTTAGATGTGAGAGTTACTTATAAGAAATAGGTTGTACTAGTAACTTGCCTCTATCTTGCAGGGAGGAAGACTAAGATAGAAATGCAAAATACTCCTACCAACATGGAATAATAAAAATAACCAAGGCAGAGAAGGATGAAAAGTAAGGAGGAATAGGAATTATATGTTAATTGGTGACTAAAACATCAAAAGCTTTCTAAATTTTATGTTTAGACAGCATTTTAAGACATGCATGTTTCTATGGACAAGAGGGAAGAGTTCTGAATGGGACACAAAGCATCCCCAGAGCTCTCGCTTCAGATCTTACAGCCTAAATGCTTATTAGGCCATATTCATACTTAATTTCTCATAGATAATTACAGCACTCCAGCTTCACAGCCATTCTACACAGACCTGAACACAAGCTACTGAACTGCAGAGGGTCAGGACCAACATTTCAAAGCACACTCATCATCACAAGAAACTAAAAAAACCAACAACTTGCAGAAGTCAACCGTTAAGCTTGGCTGCTGCAGAAAATACTGTTTATCATCAGCACATATCTCAGACAAGCTCAGGAACAGAGCTTTATTTTACTTACCTAATAGTTCTGCAATTCCTGAATGAATTTCAGATGCATGGCTTAACAGTGGCTCCTTTTTTTGGCCATAGTATCTACCAATATTTTCAAACAGCAGTAGTTTCCACATGTCTGCTTTATCCGGTTCATCAGGCAAGTTCCTACTAATATCTACCACCATATAATCTGGAAGATATTCCAAGCAATCTATTGCTGCTGAGAGCCATTCATCTGTTCTGCAAGACAGAGTGGAGTAACTTTATAGTATTACTTACTGATGCCTTTCAGAGTTGCTTGCATAGTTTTTCACAGAAATTAGGTAAACTGGTTTCTCACTGCATGTGTAGGTACTTAGATACATTAGAAATTGACATACATACACACTAAAATGCTTTTCCTGACACTCTCAGGTAGATCATTGCCATATACCTCTTTGTTATGTATTTAATCAAGATTAAGAATTAGTAACCCACACAGGTGAACAGTCACAAGCAGTTAAACCTAAAGTTAGTGATGTCCTCTACTGTTAGTCAAGGACATAATGATTGCTGGATAAACAGAAACATGAACTTTGATCTGAATTAGATTGGTAAAAGTTTTTCAGACTGTTTTTCTATTTGTATAGAGTTTCATACTCAGCATTCTTGGCTTTTTTAATATGGTAGAGAAACTAACCTGTTTCCTCACAGGTGATTTTTAAGAAAAAAGTCATGATAGCAAGATGCTCTATTCTTCCCTGAATGCAGCAATTTCCCCTCTGACTACTATCAAATACCATACTTGCATTCAAACTCTCTTCCAGTGTTCAGCAGAAGCTCTCTCATCTTCTTATGGTTTAGAGCTTAGCAATTGCCAATCAGATCTAACAGAGAAAAGTGCCTCCTCACATCCTCCTTTTTACAGTACTGAAAACAGAAGATGTGTAAAAGCTGCAGAGGTGAGTGATGAATACTTACTGTGAGTCACTGAAAGCCTTGAGAATCTCCCTGTCCAGGTAGTTACTTGTGATGACATATCCAGGGCCCTTCCTTGGCTGTGGAAGCTGAGGTCTGATCTCTTGGTGCTCAAGTAAAGACTCCAGTAGTGGAAGGTCAACAAGCTGCAGCAGACGAGCAATTGTTTGTTCTTGCCATACTTCATTAATAACTAGGAAGGGTGGAATACACAAAGCACGTGGAAATTCAGCATATGCAAAAAGAGAAATTATGAAAGAGACAATTGCCTGTCCTCCCAGTCCTAATCTAACATGAATTTTACAAAAATAAGGTAGAGTGTGACCTTGACAACTTTAAGTGTATTTTATTACTGCAAAAGAAGTGAGATTTGTTTAGTTAACTACAAGTATTGGAGGACTGCTTTTTGGACAAGTCTGAAGTGCCTTACATTCATTGTGCTCTAATTTGCAAGCAGTCTTTGTCTAGACAAGGGACTAAAAACAGTGTAACAGTGGCACTATCCTTATCATAGCCTCCACAATTATGATCTGGCTCAAGTTCTGAGAGCTTCTAGGATGCACCAGCATTTTTAACCAAAGGGAAAACACATTAGATCATGGTTTAGCCTGACCAAGAAGCCGAGAAGAACAGTTTCACTGTCACAACACTGAAGGAGCACCAAATGCTACAGATACACAGTTAAAAAGCTAGGGAAGAGTTCTAGCTAACAGTAGACTGTAGACCATGACTAGTCAAGCACAGTAGTAGTGCAGGTAATTTAATATTATGAAGAATATTTCTAACTCAAATCAAGTTCTATACAATTGTGTGTTCTTCTCCACAAAGTTCAACATTGATTTATTTCAACTAGAGCCAATGGGTTCTGTCTGATGAAATAAAAACAGAAAAGCAAGCTGTATTTTGGGCTAAGTTGAAAGAATTATGGCCAGCAGGTAAAGGTGATTCTGCCCCTCTGCTCTGATGAGACCCCACCATCCAGCTCTGGAGCTCTCAGAACAGGAAACACATGGGCCTGTTGGAGAGGGTCCAGAAGAGGGCCACAAAAATGATCATAGGGATGGAACACTTCTCCTGTGAAGGAAGGCTGAGAGAGCTGGGTTTGTTTAGCCTGGGGAAGAGAAGGCTCCAGGGAGACCTTCTAGTGGCCTTTGAATACCTAAAGGGGGCCTGAAGGAAAGATGGGGACAGGCTTTTTAGCAGGACTAGTAGAGATGGGGCAAGGGGCAATACAAACTAAAAGAGGGTAGATTCAGACTAGGTCAATGAAGAAATGTTTTGCAAAGAAGGTGGTGAAACATTGTAACAAGTTCCCCTGAGAAATGGTAAGAAGCCTCACCCCTGGAAACATTCAGGGCCAGGTTGGACAGGGCTTTGAATCAGCTATCTAGTTGAAGATGCCCCTGCTCACTGCAGGGGCATGGATTAGAAGACCTTTAAAGGTTCCTTCCAACCCAAACAATTCTATGAAATAAAGCTAGCCTTTGTCAAGATATGGTGTTCAAAACAAAATACTATCAGAGTCAGTTTGACTCTGTCTCCAACCCAAGGCATCAGCCTTTCCAGTCCAGAAGTTATTTACTTCCCTCTCCCACCAATGTTATTTGGCTTACCTTGGCGGGACAAACTGTCTGAGATGTTTACTCGAAGGGTATTTGCAGGCCTTAAACTCAGGTTTTCCCAGAGATCCTCCAAGCTTTCTGGTTTGACAGGAGTAGAGTGAAACAACATGCTCTTCTCATGTCTGAGATTAAAAAACAATTTATATATTTATATATATATAAGTATACATATGGAAAAATCAAGCATATTGTGTAACAACATTTAGATATGGGTAACTAAGATTTAAAAATATTTTCTCCATATAAATACCTTCTCTCCTCCTCCCCCTGGCACTTCCTCTGTGCAAGTCACACAAAAGAACACGCAATACCTAAAGAATTATGTGTGTGCAACAGTTGTGCACAAGTGCATAGTTCCTCTCTTGATACTTGTCCCAGCCAGCAAGTTACCTCAATTACCACAGAGAAGATCGCTCATGAGGGGAAATTACTTTTTTTAAAAAGCAAAAAAATTCCTGCCTCAGAACCTCCAGAGTCTTAAGGCAGTATTCCTAACGGTCAAGTGAGGACAAAAATTAAGAGCTATTCTTGAAAAGCCTAGCAGGTGGCTGCCCCACAGCAACACCACTACTAAAGTTACAAAGTTTGTTCATGCCATCAACTAGTGGAAGGCTTCAGAAACCTGTCACCCATTTCTGTGTTTGTTGTTTCTTCTCATACCTGCTTTCCTATGCTATCAAACAACTAGCATAACTCCAGCCATAAAATTACTATTTCTCCAAGCATATTTAATTGCAATTTATATAACTTCTTTGGTTTATGGCATTGCAAAATCCTTTTGAAGTCCATTATCTATGTATCCATGTATGTGACAAGCTGTACCTAACAACAGATTTGTTCCTTTCTCTAAATGAAGAAACATAATCCAATGAATCTGTGCCCTGCCCGGAAGAAAAACACCTTCTTTCGAAACTAATAGAATATGAATAACCTCGTTTCATGACTGACTGTTTGTCTGATATATTCTAAGAGTTGCTTTAAAAGTTCTTGTGATTAATATATTTTTAAATATCATATCTGATTAAAGTATTTTTTATTTGCTGTTAATCTTCCCCTTTCCAGATAAAGGCTAGGGACAATTTGCTTGAGCACAGAACAAGAGCTAGTCAGGGGAGAAGAGAAAGAAGCAAGACCAAGGAACTATCTCTTTTTTAGTATCTGCTTCCAGAGTTTTCAGATCAGTTGGGTTGATGCTTTTACTTTCACATTTGCTGCTCACAAACACTTCAATCATATCAGGTGTTTTCTTTTTAGATCAACACTATTTGTAATTTTCAGAAGCGTGCCTTGCTAGAACTATTGCAATAACTATATTGCAGTAACTACATGAACGTAGTTTCTGTAGGAGTATTTTCAAAGATGAACACTTGATTTTCTTTGCTTTCTCCTAAAGAAACAGGGAAACAAAACCTCACCATTGCACTTCCCTCAGGTTCTCCAATAGTACAACAGAGTAAGAGTCTGCTGACTAAGAACCAGCCATACATGCATGAAGAAACAGTTGAAAACATTTCAAAAGGCTAAATTTGAAGTGCAGTAAAGCTAAGATTATAAAACCCCCAATTTTTACCCGTTTTTTTTTCTTTAAAAACTGAATGGCTTCCTGTCTCACGGCAGAGCTAGATGTGCAGTGTCTAAAGATTGCTCCTTTGCATTATCCTATTTGATACAAATGAATTCCAGTTGGTTATAGTGATTTAGAGCCCAACAGATCAGTATCTGCAATGCATTTAATTTCTACCCTTCTGCCCTCCTCTCCCAAGGTGGTATGGTAACAGACACACAGAGCAAGTAACTACACAGGCTGAATTATTTACTCCCTTCAAACTGCAGTTTCCTCCCTATCTTCCACCCACAAACATTGCCACAGTATCTACTTTCACTCCCTCAGGTCCTGTAATTGTACAAGAGTTTTCCCTTCTCTCCCCCAGAACACCTAACATTTTCTGATTGTTAAAAACTTCTTATCTTCACATTCCATGATGCACTAACCTTTGTGGTGTACACTGCTGATAATCTTTATCAAATTCAGCTTGGTTTGAGACATTTGTGAATCTGTAGAGGCTACTGCTGCTGTCTTCAAATACAGACCGTTTGTCTTTTCCGAAGACCCGAGTTGAAACAGCCTCAAATACTTTGTAATCCATCAGTGCTTGACACACACGCACTATTTTAGCACGGGAAATATCAACATCCCCAAAATACTTGTTCTGAAGAAGGTGGGCAAAGACCACATCCACTGCATCTGAGCCAATAAAACAGTCATGATAGCACTTCAGGTTCTGGCGACGCTTTTTCACTTCCACTTGAGTTTGAAGTGCATTGATAATGCTGCTCCAGACATATGTTGCTCCAAATGGTTTCTGTGCTAAACTGAAGCCTAAGAACATAGAAAGCATAAAGATTGAATTCATGCTGCAGTTAGAAAAGAACTGCCCCCTTCCTGGCTACTAGCTTTCATGAATCTTGTGAGGGTTTAAAAATCTTTGAGACTTGCAGTTTTGGTGTGGGTTGCTCATGAATTCACATTTTGTTACTTTCTCAGCAAGCCTGCCTGCCTCAAACCCATGCATCTCACTCCTCTGGTTACATTAGCCTGAAGCTTTGCCACCAGGAGTTCCTACTTTTTCAACCCATCCTTTCGTGGCAGGATCCTTTTGCACGCTCCTCCATCACCTAATGCAGAACCTACTCCTAAGCACACATGTTCTCACAACCAAAAGCTGTGTGTACTTGTAAGCCCCAGTTTCTCACAGACACACTGTGCAGCTGAAGAGACTTAACAACAATCTTTCCTACCAGATTGCACAAACACACAAACTACCTAATATCAGTGCTTAGCATATCACTAACAAGATCAAGAGCTCTCTTGAGACACCACTCACTTGGCACTTAGCCCACGGAACAGCCTTCTACCACCAGAAATCCAAATGAGATCTAAGTCTGTGTACTCAACGCCACTTCCTTGAGCCAACCAGCCTTCCATCCCCCAATAAAAGCACTGAACTCTTACTCATTTACCAATCTGATTAAGAATAGTATGCTAACAACTGACAGTTTGCCCAGAGGCTAGACTCCGACTCCACAAGGATTTAAAAATACAGAATACACTAATAAAATTTGAAGGTGGCAGCTGACTGGGAAGAGTTTCAGCCACTAGAGAAGCTAGAATTAGAAAATACATTTCTCAATAAATCAGATGAATAATTTATTAAGACAGAAAGAAGAGGAAGAGTAAAGAAATCAAATGCTAAAGGACAAAACATGGAATGAGGAATTGGCAGCAATCCTACAGAAAGTCATCTGGGGTTATGACAGACCTCAAACCAAATGAATTAACAGTGTCATGCAGTGTTTAAAAAAAAACACAACATGCCACTCAGTCTGGAACATATTACCATGAGCATTTTCCACAGAGATGCAAGAGATTTTTCCCATTTGGTCTGAAGTGGCATGAGAGAATTGCACTCCAATTTTGGAAAACCAGAATTTTCATCTGATCTCCATCTACTAGAGAGCCCAGAAATTAGCAAGTTGGGGGGTGGGGAGGGAGAGAAGTTAGGAGGTAGTAAAGACTGGGGGAAAAATAAAAAAAGAATACAGTAGTATTTGAACACACTTAACACTGCTGCAAAGGACAGCAGTTCTCTTCAGAGACATTATCAAATAGGCACCTGTTTTCTGAAGAGATTTATACCAGGAAAAAAGGCTTTTGAATACAAGGCACTGAACCAGACTAGGCAGAAACCTTCCAGAAGCTGCAGGTTCCAAAGCTTTGAAAGTGCAAGACAGACAAAGCAGCACAACTTCTGACATTTTAACCTGACGGCACCTTCAGGCAGGCAGAGCAAGCAGAACAGAGCACAGAGTTTCCTTCCAGCCCTACACTTTGATGGCTCACTATCCTCTCTGGAAGGGGGAAAAACCAGCCCCAGACAAATCCAACACCACCAAACATACACCGACACTGTTCCTCTTACCACAGTAAGGATAAATGCAAACTACCTGCAATAACTCTACCATTCATCACCGCTTTATCACCTCTTCCTTTAACACACCCCCAAAACCTTTTTTTAGGGGAAATGCTATTAAGCACGGCGTGCAGGTGACGAGGTTTCACAAAGTTTAGGCGCTCAGGGTGGGGGGGG